CCCGAGAGTTATTGCTACACCGGTTTGGTGAGCAGGGCGTATGCAGAGAATTTTCTGTTAGCCTCAAAAGCCCCATGATTAGCTTGTCAGGTTGCCATTTTGCAGAAAAGGAACAGGGAAGCTTCCACTAGTATCCCTGGGTTTTAATAGTAAGTGGTATTTGTTATGTGATGAGATTTGCCAGTTTACTCGAGTCCCTCTGAGGCTGCTGTTAGTGGCCATACACCAGCCAGCTCGCCAGCCAGCCTTGTACAGTAGCGCCGCGTGTAACTCCGTGAAGCATTTAGTCACTGACCCAGAAGGTTGGCATTTTCTGTTTGCTTTAAGCCACTTGACATTGTTTCACCCAAGGCAAAGCCATAGGCTGAAAACATTCCTTAAGGAATGAAAAAAAGATATGTCACAGTAAACATCTTTTTGAGTTCATTACTACCCGGTGATGGAATAATGTTCCACGTGCGTGAAACACTGCCGGTCCCACCGTGATCCCGAATGACACCTGGACGCTGTCTGGCCTGTAGGGCTGAGACACAGTCAGCTGTCCTCATGAGATGTGAGTGAAGCTGGTAAATTGTATTTTACCAGTAATAGGACAGTTAAGTCATGTTTATCTGTAGTCAGACACATTTAGGTGTCATTCAAGGCCTCAAGCTGGGCACACGTGGGGGATCGCACATGAGGAAGGTGACATTTCTGTCCACACTCAGGCCCCATCTATCATGGGAGATAAGATACAGGTATAAAGTGGAATATAAGGAAGTAAGTGCAAAGGAACAAAATACAGGAACACAAAGCAGAAAGGAGCCTCCTAGGAATTCTTTTCGCAGCGTAAAAGAGATTTTAAAAACTTCGTATCTACAATTTTTAACACTTAGTGAATGCCTAGTAAAAGATGATTAATTCTAGTTCATGAGGTTGTGTCCTGTATTAAATATCTTCTCTCCTCCCCATCCCATATTTTTCATGTATATATAGTAGGAAGAAAAACGTTAGATATTCATGTGTATTGTTTTAACATTATTGCTAATAACTGTAAAATAATGATATTGTTTTGTATCTTTGAACATACTTTGCATTGTTTTGTTTTGGTGTTTTGCAAGTCTTCTGTATTTTTGATAAAGAGGGGGANTTTTGTATCTTTGAACATACTTTGCATTTTTTTGTTTTGGTGTTTTGCAAGTCTTGTGTATTTTTGATAAAGAGGGGAAAGTCCAGAACTGTCTAATTTATGAAAGTTTTATGTTGTAATTTGAAAAGCAGTAAAACTTGTGCTTTGGCAGCATATACACGAACATTGTCCCTCTGAAACAGATACATCGGGGGTGATTGTACCCCCTAAAAAAGATTCCTATTTTTACAAAAATAATTCTTATGTAACAGTTCTTTTGCATATGTCTAATGTATTCAGGATATAGTTGGAGGTAAGTAATTTTTAAGCCTTTTATCTTCAACAATTAAAACTTTTTCCATGCAGAGAACTTCCTGGTGTTTCTGAACCTAGATTCTTTTCTTGTGAACTATATCTCATGTACGGAAGAGTGTATGAAGTGTGTGTGTACAGGTAAGAGCACATGCTCTCAGACACGCATGCTCTTAAAAAAGGGCCACTAGCTTGGAGGGCTCTTCTCTGTCCCTCTTGGGTTGCAGCTTGTTGTTTCTTTCCAGGAGTGGCCACTGTTCCGACTTTGGTGATAAACATTCCCCAGTTGTGTGTGTGTGTTTTTAATCATGTTTCCATCTTTGAATGTTTATATACGTCACACATACTTTCAGATTTGTGGTTGGGCTTTCCATTTTCTTTATAGTGTCTGTTGATGATCAGAAGTTCTAAAATTTAGCTAAATTTACCAGTCCATTCCTTTATGATTTGTACTTTCTAAGTCTTAAGAAAAGTTTCTCTACTCCAACATCAAAATAGTCTATTACATTTTCTTCAAAAAGTTTTATTATTTTACCTTTTTCCATTTAGAACTGTAATCTGTTAGTAATTGTGTTGTTTGTATACACGTATATATATGTGTATGGTGCTGTGTATGGGTACAGTTGTATTTTTACAGACAAATGTAGGTGTTCAGCTATCCCAGCATCGTTTAAGGAGAAGTCTGTATCTTCCTATGGGGCTCTGCGGTGTCCCCTCTGTCATGTCAGTGTACATGTTTTTTTTTTTTTTTCTGGGCTCTCTTTGGTTCTTTTGGCCTATTACCTACCTCTGTGGCATATATTTAAATTAATAATATTTTTTAATAGGTATTTTTTTAATATATGGGGAGTTTTCCCCTTCTAATGTAACGTTTCTTAACCATTTTTGTTCCTTTTTACTTATATTTAATTTTTAGAGTCAGCTTCTCAAGTTCACTTGATGGGGTGTTAATTAAGAGTACATCTGTGCCCTGGCCAGTGTGGCTCAGCTGGCTGGGTGTTGTCCTGTGCACTGGAAGGTTGCTGATTGGATTCCCGGTCAGAGCACATGCCCAGGTTGAGGGCTCGATCCCCAGTAGGGAGTGTGCAGGAGGCAGCTGATCTATATTTCTCTCTCCCCATCGATGTTTCTCTCCCTTCCTTTCTCTCTAAAAATCAATAAAAACANAGTGTGCAGGAGGCAGCTGATCTGTATTTCTCTCTCCCCATTGATGTTTCTCTCCCTTCCTTTCTCTCTAAAAATCAATAAAAACACACTGTTTTAAAGAGGAATACATCTGTAAATCCATTTGAGGGAATTAGTTAATATTAGAAAAATGGAAGGCATATTCAGTGAGAGCTAACAATAGGAGAAAGACATTGTTTCTTTAAAAAAGTGCTGGACTAAGATGACAACTGATTGAAGTTCCTTGGAATTCTTGATGACTGTCATCTAATGTATTTTATTTATTAAGTTAGCTCTCAGATGTAGGCCCATTCTTTACAGCTAACGTTACCTTTATTTTGGATGCTAATTTTGTTATTCTTGTTTGGAAAAGTAGGCATGTATATTTTAATTATATTGGCACCAAAACTTTTTTTTTGTCAAGACTGCCTGCAGTACTTTAGATCTGCTTAACCCCATTAAAACATCGTAGAGCTATTCATTAGAAGCCCAATTATCATAGACTTATTTCATAGGATTGTTTTCTAATCATCATAGCTTTTATCTTCATGATATGATGAAATAGGTCTTTGATTTAAGTGACAGATATTAGTTCAGTTCAGTTACCCCTTCTGAAGAGTTAATTAAGCAGAAAATAGCCCCAATCCTGGTGCCTGTGTGGTGTCCCACAGGGCATCCCAGAGGGACAGGGGTAGCTGGGTTCAGGCGGGAGCAAGTGGAGCTGGCTTGACGGTCTCACCGAGTTTATAGAGCACTGGGGTAACACATGGCCCCTTTCCAGCCTCGGTGCTAAAAGAGCTGTGGCTTTCTGGTTCTAGGAGTGAGTCCTGGAGGAACTGACAGTTTCGATGGAAAGCACACGCTAAGGTATTTGAGAGGTGCTGCGTGGTAGCACCTTCCCCCCCTTCAGGGGAAAAGTATTAGAACCGAATGAGAAATGAGACAAAGAGCCGGGCATGCAGGATGAAACTGGCCCGTATGCACGAGATGGGAGCCGGGGCGGAGGACACAGCTTACATCTACGGGCAGAGAGGCTTCCTGACATCGATCTCCCACCTTTAGGGTCCCTTAGCGCCCCCAGGTATAGCAGTGCTCTCCGAGCGGAGTCCCTGTCCTGGGACTTATGATGGAGGGCGTGGGGGGTGGGCCGGGCTTGGGAAGGAGGGGTTGAGCTGAGCTCTTAGCGTGCCCAGTTTATTCTTTTCACAGTTGCCAGCTGGAGGAAGCATTTTATTTCCTCTCAGGGAGAGTTGAGTGAAGGAACAGAGAGACGTTAACAGTGTCACCTTGCTGTATCCTGGCCACGTGGAAGGGGACATCGGGAACCGGGAGGAGGCATCCTCTCCAGCACTCGTTCTGAGAAGTGAAATGTGTCCAAGTTTGAGGAAGTCCAGGCATCTTTGAAATTTCTTCTCTAGCAGCCTCACAGTTCATACTCTATGATATTCATAATAGGAAGAAAAGCCAACACATTGGGAGTTTACTACTCTTTATCACCTAGATTAAGTATTCATGTGTATTGTCTCATTTAATTTTCAAACTGTCTTGTGTTTTATTATCTCTGTTTTATAGATGATGAAGCTGAGGCGCAGAGATGAAAATGCTCAAGGATATGTAGCTAGTAGCGTGTAAAACCATGGCTTCAACCTGGATATAACTCAGTGTCTTCTCATTTTTAAAAAAATTTTTTTTCATGAAAAAAATATAAATATGGGTTAAAAAGTATACACTCCTCATACTATAACAGTCCAAATGATGCCCAAATGATGTCCAAATGTGTAAAGTAGAATTAGTGGACCCCCCGTCCCACAACCCCTACCGATTGTAATCACAATGAACAGAATGTTATATATCTTTCTATGCCCTTCCTTTATTAGTATATTTATATAGGTGTATTTTTTGTTAAACAAACATGGGATTGTATTATACATATAATATTTAAACACATATATTTAATCTTCACCTGAGGGCATGTTTTTTATTAATTTTAGAGAGGGAGGGAAGGGGGAGAGAGAGAGAAACATCAGTCGGTTGCCTCCCTTACACACCCTGAAGGGATCGAACCCAAAACCTGGGCATGTGCTATGCCCAGGAATCGGAAAGGGGCCCTTTTGGTGCAGGGATGACCATCAGCCAGCTGAGCCACACCAGCCAGGGTGACTTCTCTTATTCTTATCAGTCCTATTTCCTGCAGCTTTGCATGAGTGGTAATATTTAATTGGATTTCAGACATTGTTGTTTTTATATCGTTGGGTGCTGGAGTTTTCCTGAAATCTTTCAAGGATTTTTGTCTTTTTTCTTGGACTCACTTGAGTTACTTGTAAACGGTTTGATTCTTTTTGAGGCTGGATTTTCAGCATTGTTAGGACAGCCCAGAACAGCCTTTAGGGTTCTTTTGGTCACACCACTGAGGATACACCTCACTTAGGGTTTTCCTTCATGCCTCATCTTTAGATGGTCTTCGGCCAGTTGGGGCTCTAATTATTCTCAGCCCTGAGTGATTTCATAGGGTTGTTCTGCATGTTCCTTGTGTCTTTAAAAATTACCTTCTGGTTTTGTTACGCTTATGTTGTTTATTTCCCATATTATTTCAGCCTTTTTATGAAAACATATCATAATTATGTTATGCTAGGCTATTGGTAATAGTTTCATAGCCGCCTGAAGGAATGATCACACCTCCTGAGATACCTGACACATCCGGGAGGGTAATACCCTCCCGGTATCAGACCTTTATGCGCAATGTTGATAACAGAAGATCCTGTCTGTTTCTCATACCAAATAACACCCTTTCCATCTGCTGCTTGTTCTCTGCTTTCTCTAGGAAGAGCGTGTCGTGAACCACATGGCAGCGAAGGTCATTGAGAACGTCTGCACCACCTTCTCCGCGCAGGCCCAGGGCTTCATCACCGGGGAAATCGGGCCTGTCCTGTGGTACCTGTTCAGACACTCCACTGTCGACTCCCTCAGGATAACCGCAATATCGGTGAGATGGGGCATATTTGGGGGATACGTTCGCATGTATTTATTTAAACACCAAGTTTGCAAAAACTGTGCCAGAAATAGAGTGAATGTAATTGAATAGGTAGGAAACAGAAACTTCAGAGTAATCGCTGGTGAGAACAGAAACTTGATTTTCTCCTAATGTAGAAATTTCAAAACGGGCTGGAAAACCTTGGCACTGTCAGGAAATTCTGTTAGGACCTTGTGGGGCCCGATATGATGGTTTTAAAAATGATTTGGAGGTGATAGTGGAAGACTGTGATAGTGGACAGGGATTTGGTTTGGTGTATGTTTACTGCTCCCTGACTTTTCCTGTCAGCACCTTCTTTCAGAGTTTATATTACATGGGTATATCATGTGGTTCCAATGAATTCATTCTCAGGCACCTGTGGGTTTGGGGTTTTGCATTTTTTAAAATAATATATCTTTATTGATTTCAGAGAGAGGGAGAGAGAGGGAGAGAGAGAGAGAAACATCAATGATGAGAGAGTCATTGATCGGCTGCCTCCTGCATGCTCCTGACCGGGGATTGAGCCCGCAACCCGGGCATGTGCCCTGACCAGGAATCAAACCGCGATCTCCTGGATCCTAGGTCGACGCTCAACCGCTGATCCACGCCCAGCCGGCGGGTTTTGTATTTTGATTGGTTGTCTGCTACTTTCCTCACAAGGTCATAATAACTTGGTATAAAGGATAATTATGTTTGAAGATGTGTTAACAGGGTTGTATCAGTTTAATCATCTTTTGAACAAATACAACCCTTTCTCGTGTAATTTGTTTCAATACTCTCCTGATCACTAGTCTCATCTGAACTCTCAACGTTACGTGGCAGCCTCACTGTATTTCTCTCCTCTGCTTGGCCTTCCACTCCCCACAGTGGCGATTTCATAACTTCCCTCTTTCCTTAAATCTCCAATCCCACATTTTCCTCCTGAATCCTCAGTAATGACTCCCCCACCCCTCCCAGAGGAGATGAAAACACCCAGTGGGAATTATCCTAACCTGAGTCCGCTGTATCAGCAGATGTGTTACATCCACACCTGTGCACACCTGCTGCAATGGACAGACAAATCCTCCTGTCAGGGACAGACCCTCATGCTTCTCCAGGTCTTCTCCCTGGGCCCTTTTTGGGAACCTCACTCAAATGGTTATTTTTGCTCTTTCCTAAATCTTTCACCTGCCCTGATCTTCCAGAGTCTTCTAATCAGCATTTAGGTATCCTTTACCCCATTACAAAAAAAGCCCACATATAAGCATTTCGAAAGGACTTGAGGCTGCATATCCACCTTCAGAGCCATTGTTTATAAAGCGTTGTCATCACAAATTATTGCTCCTTTCTATCCATTTCCTCTCCTACCCAGCCTGGTATCTGTCCTAAAAATGTCACTGAAGCTGATCCTGTTGAAAGTAATGACTTTCATGTTGCTAAGTCCTGTGGGTATTTATGGATAGTTTTCAGTTCTTATCTTAAACTTACCTATGTAATTTTGAAGATCAGGGGCTAACGATCCTGCTCACAGAGTATCAAGCAAAGGACATAAAGCATCACACACACACGTACACACGCACATCCCGCTTCAGGAGCCATGTGATTTAAATATTACAGCACCTAATTATGGTGTGAGTAATGATGGAGAGACCTCAGTCAGAGTTAGTTACAAGTTACACCAGTAAGCTTTCTTGAGGCGTCTTGGAATGATACCTTGAGGCATCCGTGTTAATCCAGGACCTTTAGAAAGAACCCGTCATGCTTCAGTTGGGCTAATGTTCCCATAATCATCATGGGTTCTTTTCAATTGTTTGTACCAAAGTCTGGCACTTTCTAGGCCTTTCTTCATCTGATACATTAAGCTTCACTCTGTCATCTTGGCCTTCTTGTAGTTTGTTCTTAGAATTCATCCCAGTAAGTAATTTTTCACTGAAATCTTGCCAGTTGTACCCAAAATGCCTTTTCTTTTTCTTTTCTGTCCCAGGATTCTCTTCAGTACCATGTGTTACATTTACACATTTTCATGTCTGCTTAGCTTCTTCCGGTGTGAAACCGTTCCTCAGCCTCTCTGTGTGCTTCCTGTCATTGACGGCTTTAAAGATCACAGGGCTCTTGTTCTGTAGGGTGGGGTTTGACCCAGGCCTGTCTGGTGCTTCCTCTGAAACCTCCTTAGCACCACCGAGGACTCCTGCCTGCACCTGATGCCACGCGGTGGTTGCTATGTGATGACCATCTATTTGTACCACTCTTTTTATAGGATTGGTTGGCACATGTTTTCTGTAAAGGGCCAGGCAGTAAATGCCTCGTGCTCTTTAGGTCACATACAGTCTCTGTGGCATACGCTTTTTGTTTTGTTTTCTATGACCCTTTGAAAATGTCAGAACCATTCTTACTGTGCAGTTCCTGAGCTGTGCAAAGACAGGCCGTGGGTATTGGTTGGCATGCTGTTGTCGGAAGCTCTTTTTCTTCTCATGCGTTCACGTGTGTCTTTATATCGTCATGGTCATGGATGCCCGTTTTACTCAATGGATTGGCATGTGATACCACCACTATGACTATGATTTATTGTTTGGATGCTCAAGGCATCCTAGCTTTGTCCCCAGCTAGCTTCTGTGTTCTGTTGACCTATTTCCCTCATCGTTTGAGCATTTCCTTACTTTTTGACACCATGTAATGTTTGGGCTAACTTTGTACTTTCTCTCTGCTAGCCCTAGAATCTATCATGTCTCCAAGGAGCCTTTGGTGTTTAGAAACCAAGATCTGGGTACTCTTTGTGCTTACTGCTGTGGGGCATCATTGCATCTAGGCCTTCTCAGTATACAACTAGAAAACACCATGTGCTCATACATTGACATATATTTAAAATTGTTATATATATTTATATCACTGTACATGTTTGAAACAAGACTCATGCATTCACATTGATACTTCCAACTTTAATCCAATACCTTAGGATTCTTTCTGGCCTTCCTTTTTGTGTTTGTAAATCCCTTTTGAGACAGAGAGAAACCCGGCTCCCATTCTCAATATACTTACTGATTTTTCCCATCAGTTAATTTTGGGCGAATTACTTAAATATTTTATGCCTTAGTTTTATCATCTATAAAATGGGTTAATAATAATACCTTGCTCACGTATTGTTGGGAGAATTCAATGAAGTAGCCTGAAGATGTTCTCAGTGCTCTTCACATACTGAACAACAAATGTTAGATATATACTTTCATGACTGTTTCCCAGCCCTTAGCTTAGTGTTTGCACCACGAGGGCACTTACCGATGTTGATTACTTAAGGGGAAGTTTTCCTATCTAGACTTACGAAGTAGTTTATCATTTTAGTTAGTTCATCATAATTTATATGACTATTATTTTAAGAGTCTCTAATGTTTTAAAACAACTTTAGTTTTCATTAGCAGCTGGATTATTGTCTTATTTTTAAATGTGTGGAAATTTTCCAGTTTTTTTAAGCCAAAATAAATGATGGAGGAGCAAGGTAGGCACCTTCTACTCTCTACGGAACCAGGCTAACAGGCTTGGAGGTGTCTGACAGATCTGTTTCCCTGTCGCCGCAGGCCTTGTGCAGGATCACTCGCCACTCTCCCTCCGCCTTCCAGAACGTCATTGAGAAGGTGGGCCTGAACTCGGTCGTCACCTCCCTGGCCTCCTCCATCTGCAGAGTTCAGCAGTACCTGCTGACCCTGTTCAGTGCCATGCTGTCCTGTGGGATTCACCTTCAGAGACTAATCCAGGAGAAGGTTTGACACAGCCCTCACCTGTTACTCTACTTTAAAAGTCCTTTTCTTCCGCAGGTTTAGTGGACGAGTAATATCCTCTCTGTAGAATTTATTTTTCATCTCGGGACCTTTTTGAACTTTGTCAAATCCGTCTACCATGGGCCATTCATCCGAAGACGTTATGAGAGTGTTTTCGTGATTAAAACAGAAATCTGGCAGGCGGCTCCCCTGCTGGGCCCGTCCGTGGGGAGGAGCTGGGAGCTGAGCTCCTCCTCTATGCTGCCACCTCGGCCCCGCCCCTTGCCCTGTGTCCCTCGCCTGCCTGAGGGGGGGCTCCCGTTGTTCTCTGACTTCTTTTTGCTCCTTTCCTTGTCTAATACACTGTCGTTGCCAGTCACCCTTCGAGCTCCTTCTCTTTTTATCTCATTCCCTTCTAATCCTTGGCTGTCCTGTTATTTTATGTACAGTGGGGTTTGTAAGTGGTAAACCCACATCACTAAACTGAAGAGCTCTAGAGAAGGCTCTGTAGGGCAGCCTTCCTCAAAGTGTCTTCTCCAGTCCTTGCTGAAGAGGGATCCCTGCACCAGCACCGGCATCTTCTGGGTGTTGGAAACGCAGACCCTCAGGCCCCAGCCCAGACCTGCTGCTCAGAATAGACATTGTAATGAGGTCTCTAGGTGATGTGTTTTGACTTTATGGTTTGAGAAGCCCTGTCCTAGAGTGTTAGTGTTCAGTGAGGTGTTAACAGCTGTAAAAATGGCTCATGGTTATATATACATTTGGAAAGCAGTGAGTTAAAGAGAGAATTTCAGTGGGACAGACTTCAGATGCTCACGTGTATTACAGATCTTCACGAGGGTATGTAGTGTGCAGGGTTTTGTAACTTATGGGACCACTGACTTCTTTGGAGGGTGACACCTGTACTGCGGGGTCTGTGGAACATGGGGAAGGTGACGCTGCTGAGTGTGGAGTGGACCCGCTTCAGTGTTTGCTGTGGTTCCTCTGCAATGAATGCAACGCTTTGAATTTTGATTTTTATACTAAAAGTTAAAGTTTCAATAGTTACTATTAATTAGGGTCAGGTTTGCATTGTAAACTTGGTCTGTGAAACTCAAACAGAGAGCAAACCACTTCTTGCCTTTAATTAGTCTGATTTAGACTCTAGGAAATTTGAGCCTCAGAGAAAGTGTTTTTTCCACCAGTTTGCATATCTAATTTTTGCTACTAAGTTTTCCAAGTCATTAATGTTGTTGTCATTGTATTAGAAAAAGCACCACTCGAGTAGTTTCACTGTGTAAACTGCATAATAGAGGCTGAGGGTTTTAGCTGTTTGTGTTTTTTCATTTGAACACAGGCATGAATTAATTTAGTTTCAAATATGGTATCTCACAAAGCTGGTAAAATAAGAACTTATAGTTGGGCTCCCCTGAGGTGTGGGTTGTGTTGGGGAGATCCGGGGAGATAGAGGCCAGTGAAGCTGCACGTGGGCAGTGGGGACGACGGGCATGCAGGAGGCTGGGAGGTAGGAGAAGACCCGGATCATGTAGGGCCGGGATGTTGGCCTTCCTTAGGGTTTTGACCGATTCTTGATGTTAGGAAATTAAAAGCACGTAAAACTCCTGGAACTCCATTCTGCTGCATTTCAATTAGTTGAGCTTAAAAAACTCACATCAACTTAAGTAGATTCAAGCATCCACCTCAGCCATTTGGTTCCTGGCGTCTGTGCCCTTGAATGGACTTTGTAGCCTCAGCAGTGCATCCTTTGGACTTCATTTGCTTTGGGGGTCACTTAATGATGTAACATTAATTTTTAAAGCCCTACCCTATTTCGCAGGTGAGTTTGTTCAGGCTCACTGGTCAGACGGCTTCCTTCTGAGTGTGGTTGACTAGAGATACCTAGCCTTTGAAACCTTTTGCTTATTAATTTCTACTACAGCTGCTGCCTCTTTTTTTGCACAGTCTAGTTTGACTGGAGCCTCGCTTCAGGTTTAGCATTTGGACCAAGCAGCACAACAGTGATTAATAATAAACCAGAAGCTGCAGACCTCTGTTATTTGTAGGTACTGTGTATGGAAGATCACTGTGAAATTTCATGCCTGCAGAATTTTGAAAAGTGTGAACGCTAAGTCTACCAAGGTTTTATTTCTCCCAAGTCACAGGGCATACAGACTCAATGGTTGCTAATCCAGCTTTTAAAATATGGTAATTAATTTATGCATATTAATCAGATTACGGGTGCCTATTATGATACTTTTAGTTTGTTCTCATTAATAAAAATATTCTATCAGAGACATTTTTTACTTAGGTACTTGGCTGAACTGCTTTAAGGAAAGTGGAATCCAAGACCATTTTAGGTTTAATCAGTGCAATTTTCATTTCCATCTGTATGAAACAGGAGAATTGTGTCGGTGTAGTTACCCACATGATTCCTCACTGTTTCTCCTGAGGCCTCTGCCAGTGGGTGGCTGGGCTGCACTCATCGATTCTCACCTGTGACAGCTGATTGAGGCAGATCAGCTTCCCTGCCTGAGATTTACAAGAGATATTCCAAAGTTCCCTTCCTCGTTGTTTCCATCCACCTCGAAATTTCCTCCTCATGATACACACTAGAGCGATGTTTCATCCTTTTGCTTAATTATTATAAAGATAACATTTGTTTGTGGAGGATGCTTCAGGCACGCGGACCCAGTCCTCACATTTTGAATATTCCGTCACGTCATCTTTGTGTTCGATAGACATGCCCATTCTGAAATCTCTGCCAAGTACCATCTGAATGTTGGACATGAGCTTGTCCTCCTGTGCGTTGGCTTCTAGACCTAAACGGCTTCTGCTTCCCCTCCGCCACATGTAATATTGTGGGTATGCTGAGCAAGGTGAACTTAAATCAAAGCTGGATACACAGTGGATTGCATGCCAAAGCGACCTGAGGTCATTTTTGCTTCTCTAAAGGTCATTTCGATTATTCATCAGTGGCCCTAAGCCTTTGCCGCAGTCTGCAATCTTCCCTCCTCCAGCATTGTAAGATTACTACTGCTCTAGAAGTGTGGTGCACGTTGTCTAAGATTAAATACGGGGCCCTGGGTGATTAGTTGTAGGGAGTCTGTTATTCGGTTTTTCTGAAGACTAAATGAGAGTGTGTTTAGGGCACAAGATGCTTTTAGGCTTAGATCCCAGTGGTCGTCTGTAACACACTGTGTCTTCTTCAGGGACTTAGAGTTACTGTGCTCCAAAGAAACCTCGGACCCAGTTTCTTTTCTTTCTGGCATTTGCTGTAGTTTGTCTCATTTATGTCACTCAAAATCCTAAGTATATTATTTTAATTTGCAGGATTCTTAGTCATGGCCTAATCTCAAGGGTTGCAGCAACTGTAGGTGAATAACAATTGTATTTGCTGTGGCAGGAGCTCACTGTGGCTGCCTCTTGTGGAGCAGGTGGAAGAAAGCAAGGATAGCTAGAGCCTGGCGCAGTAACTCAGGAAGACAGTGGCGCGTCGGGATAAGACAGCGATGGCGGGGTGCTGTTCTTGCAGGACCTGGGAGCCTTTTGGACGCAGGGCGGAGGAGGAACGAGTCAAGGCGGATGCTCAGGTTTTTACTTTAGCTATTGGGTCGATGATCCCTGGAGCAGGTCACCTCTTGGGCAGGTGCTAACCTGACTGTTGGGTGTGTGACACAAAAGGTCGCAGCATACCCTCCACTCACATTCACCAAAGGCCAGCACGTTACCATATTTGTGTTATAGTTTCTCTGTCTCTTAACGTGTGTCTTCTTACCCCTTTGAGAAGAAGTTGCAGACCTGAGACTCCTTTACCTTCAGTTACTTCACCGAATATTTCCCCCAAAACAAGCCATGGGTTTAAAAAATCAAGCTAACATTTATTTAGCATTATTATTAGCTAGCTGGCAGGCCTTGTTCTGATTTTGCAGGAATGTAAAGTCCCAGTAATGTTCTTTTGTGCAGAACAAAACTTGCAAGATCTTGAATTGCAGTCAGTTATCATGTCTCTCTAGTCTCCTATAGTCTGGAATGGTGGTTCAGTCTTCAGCTAGTGGATATCCGAATGGTTTTGGAATTATGTGGATGTGGAAAACAGGCCTGTGATCGTGGTCCTTGGACCACAGAGTGTAAATTAGAAGTGGCAGTTGACTATGGTAACAGGGCTCCCTGTCCACATGCTGGAAAGGTGGAAACAGGTCTGTTACTCAGTGGCACCATGGTGTTGACTCTGTTTCCAAGCAGAATGGTGATGAACTGGCTTATTTGGTTCAGGAGCTAGGTGAGACTGATGCATCGATAGACATACATAGAAATATCTTCATACTTAAATAGAAACACACCCGACTGAGTGAAGTCTTTCTGCCTGACAAGATAGCACCCAATGTGACGTGGCAGAAAAATCCAGCTGCTCACATCTGCCTTGGATACATGGTGTCACCGCTAGGTCCTTGCTTCTGGGAAGGACTCTTGGGAATTTGTACTCCTGCTCTCTTGCTGACAGTACGATTCCATATTCCCGCCAGCTCACATTCATTAACTGTATGTGTGCGAGTGTGTTTCCCTTTTGCATATCAATAGGCACCTGAAATGATGTACAATCTTTCTGTTAGAAGGGAAAATAACAGTAATACTTGTCAATACTTACTCTTCTGTGTTGTATTACACCTTTAATTAAAGAATGCTGTAGAAATAGAGGTTTTTCCTTTGTGCCACATATTGGGTATTGTTTTATTTCTGTAGGGACTCAGATATGTAGACTAGAGACGTGACCTCTACATGTGCAGGCCCGCTCAGAGGCTTGTGACTGCCGTGTTCTGCTTATTGCCACAATTGTACTTGTGTGGTTAAGTGGTTAAGAGGTAGCATTGCTGTGCGAATAGCCTGGATTTGCATCCAGCTTTGTGAATTTAGGCAAATCGCTTAACCTTTCAAGATTCATTTTCCTGTTTTAAAACAGGAAGAACATTGTCAACTTTCTATGGCTCATTTTTAGGTTTAAATGAGATAATACATATTAAAAACTCACTATAGCATCTGGCACAAATTAGGAATGCAAAACGGTTAGCTGATATTATTTTATTTTCTGTTTTCTGTTTGGTTATTACAGCCTATTAACCTTGAGAGTTGACCGCTCTATTTATTTCATGTTTCCTAAAGAAAATTTTAATGTCTTCCACAGGATTTTGTCTCTACAGTTATCCGTTTACTTGACAGCCCCTCAGCCTCCATTAGAGCCAAAGCCTTCCTGGTTCTGTTATATATTTTGATTCATAACCATGAGATGCTGCTGCTCAGCTGCCAAGCGAGGTATGATTTTCTCTGACGATTTCATCAATAACTTCAGCTTGGTGCCTCTTTCATTATTTTTTGGACTCTATGTACCTGGTATTGAATTTTTTTTTCTAGGTTTCCTCAAGGGTTTAATATTTCATGTGCAACCTCAGCTTGGAAGCCCTGAGGACCAGAGGGAGGCTGTGAAACTGAAGCAGGGTGGGGGAAATACCTGGAGTTTCGCACGTCTGAGGACAGTGCAAGACAGGTGTTCAATGCGGTTCTGGCTTGCGTCTTTGGGAGATATTCCTCGACCAGTGTTTTGGCTGTAGTTTTCACTGTTGTAGGATTCGGGAATGAGTACTTGACAGCCCAGAGGGGCAGCTGGTGAAGCAGAGGTAGGAGCAGGGCAGGGATCAGGAGCTATAGGATGGGGAGATCTCTCACCTCTCTGGGCTTCACCTCCCAGAAGCCATCGTGGATGCGCCTGGGTTCCCTCCACGCTCTAATGTTTCCTGAGGAGCATCTGCTGAACTGTCCAGACCATATGCTCTGTTGAGACCCAGAGGAATCTTAAAAATATAGTCTAATGCCTATTTCTCGATCTAGCTTTTTACTTATTATAGAATATGGAGGAGAGCCTGGAATTGTTGAGATGAATCTCGATTAGGGATTTGCAGATGTTTTCTTGTGAACAGCTAGAGAGTAAATATTTTAGGACTTGTGCATCAAGAGGCAAAATTGTGAATATTATGTAGGTACTTAAATTACAAGAGAAAACAAATTTTTAAAATTTTTTATTGACAAGAAATATACTACTAATAATTGAGTACTTTTTTTTTTTGGTAATGCAGGTCTAATGAGAAGAATAGAATTTTTTGGGGGGGGAGATAACATTTTGCTTAATTAGGGGTCAAGGTTACTATCCCCATCATCAAAGCAGTTACAGACGTTCACGTCAGCGCTGCTCTCTGAAGCAGCTTGTGATTCTTATCTTTGAAACGTCTCTCACACGGTTAGGTGCTGCCACACACGTGTCCCTGCAGGGGCGCGTGACGGTAACCGAGCGCCTTCCTTGCCGAGGAGGTGCTTCGAGGATCCGGTTAGGTTCTCCCTCGGCACCTGCCGCCAGCGGGCCCTCACACTGCAGAGTAACGGCTGCTGAATCAAGGTTATGCGGGAGCTGCGAACACGCCTCTGACTCTCATCTCCCAGGGATCACCGTCCATTGTTTTATGTCCAGTGTCCTGAGAACTGATTTCACATATTTTGTCTGTTTCTTGGTTGTTTTTGATGGGAGGGTGAGTCCTGTCCCTGTTCGTCCATTAGGGCAGAGGCAGAAGTTGCTCTTGTCTGTAAAGACCGCCCCGCTGGCTTGGCTGCCTCTAATATCATCCTACACACGGACAAGTAATCCAGCTTATCAGTGGATGTTATATTATTTCTTGGACTCACAGTGCGGTGTCCATGCGGCGACTGGAGCCCCTTACACAGCGTGAGTCAGCGTGTCTCCTGTCCTGTCCTGCGGTGACTCTTCTCCGGACACCCTATTGTGCTGAAACAACACCCCTGCTCCTTTCTGGCCCCATTGTGCCTCTGTCCTCTGGTCCCGGCTCACCTCGACTCTCTGTGCAAACTCCATTCCTGCCAGAGTTTTTCTTGTTGCTTTTCAAACACGAAACCTGTTACGCTCACCTCAGGGCCGTTCCCAGTTGCTGTTCCCTGCGCCCTAAAGCACTTCCTCCAAGGGTTTTCGGGCAGCTTCTTCAGGCCATTCAGGTTTCTGCTGGATTGCTCAGGAGGCTGCGCAGGGAGGGATATTATGCATCTTTATTCTTTTATATTTTTAGCCTTATTACAATAAGCATGTTTCACTCCTGTAATTAAGAAAAATATTTAATGAAATAGCAAACAAACCACTTAAAATGAAAAGAAATGTTAGCAATAGGTACCAGTTAATTTTGAAGGATTAGGAGAATCCCTAAGGCTCAAATTTTTTAGACTTTGTAGGTTAAATTCTGTAATACAAATTACTCCCAGACACAGGCAGCCAGTACAGGCCACGGAAAGGTGGTTTCTGTTTGTTCCTTTGTGCTTTGCGGCGCGCATTACGTTGGTATGCACATAAAATGCAAGGGTGACTATAAGGTGTGGGAAGGAGAAGCAGACTCAGGCCAGATGTTAAAAGTCCCTGTGATGAGTTTATATGAAAAAGGGCTCTCCCCTCCTTACCTGTGTCCTAAAACTCCACTGCCGCTGGAGCTCACGGGAGGCTGCCGTCTGCCTGGGAACTGAAAGCTCACATCAGAGCCCACGATAGCCTTTGCCATGGTATGGAGATATGTTTCCTGCCTACCATCGTCACCATCAGCCTCTTATGGATTCAATTTCAGACATTTTTTATGTCGGCTCTCAAAGCTTTCTAGCGTGACAAGCAGTGGAATGGAGCTGTCAGAATCAGATGAAAATGATATGATAGGCCCCCAAATGTCCCCCTGTTTCTTCAGGTGGCTTCATGCTCATATTGAATGTGGCAAGTGATAAAGTAGGGTCCCAGGTGTCTCTAGAAAAGGTAGCCCTTTGAGAGGGTGGATGGTCGTTTATGGCCATTGTATAGGTTTGCTGCCAGCCTGTGATGCCTGTGCCGCCTGATGGATCAGGTCTTACTGGCGGTTCCCCTCTTCCCGTGGCATTGCTATTAGTATGGTAATCAGTGAAATAAATAAAAAGCTGTTTTGATCTTACAAGAACAATTTTTTTTTTTTAAAGAAAAATATTTACCCTATGTAATTGGTTAACTGTGTGGGGAAAAATTATCTTCTCAGCTTGCACCATGCAAAAGTCAATTCCAGATGGATTAAAGAATTATATACCAAAAAGAAGCTATAAACAGCTGGAAGAAAATATGTTTAAGTGTGGGAAAGTACAGCTTTCCCGAGTAGAAAAGCAATGAAAGAAACCATAAGAGGAAATTCTGAGAGTTTGGCTATATATAGATTAAATACTTTTATATTCCCCCAAAATCATAAATCAAAAATCTCACGCTAACAAAACCTGTAAAGTTTTGCATCAAATATAACAGTTAATCTGTGTACTGTAAAGAGGTTTATAAAGATGTAAACAGATATTCAGCTTCCTTAGTAATGAAAGAAATACAAATTGAAATAGCCAAATACTATTTCTACCCATCGTAATATCAGGTTAAGAAAAGAAACTATCACTATCTTGTATCCAAAGTACACACAGAGGGACTACTTTTAACCAGTTAGTGGGGCTACCTTTTTCTGAGGGCACTTCAAAGTGTGTATCAGAAATCCCTGTGATTCAGCAGTCCTCATTATAAATAAACTTGAATTACAGGCTTGTACACTGTCCGGGGATGTCAAGTACCTGAAACATCTGAACCTGCCTTTTCTTGGTTGGTGAGGTTTTCATTAACTTGATCTATTAGATGTGGAAGAACCTAGAGGCTCGTCAGAGACTCCGGTGGGTTCTAGTTGCTCCGCTGCATAGTTTGGCAGCAACCCAATTTTCTCCTGGTAATCACGATCCCTCACCCTTACCCAGCAGAGTAATCCTCTTCATTCCCCACGACTGAACTGTTGTGTCCTCTGATGGAAACTTTCCTTCCTGGGAACCAGTCCAGCAGAGCTCAGGGTCATGGTGACTGGAAGATAAATTCCATGAGTAGGTTATTAGGTGTCATAGTGACAGGCAGTCACTCCCACTTCTACTCCTTGGTGACCAGACCTGTGGTTTGACTGGCAGAGACAAAAGCATGTATTTTGTCCGCGGATTCAAAACATATGCTTCATTGTTATAAGACAGAACCCAATCTTTCACTGTGTTCTTTCCCAGTTGGCACTGTGACTGAGGCCATTTCCTCTTTCAGTCAAGCTAGGTTCTCCTAGGTGATTGGGTACTTGCTGAGATGAGTGAATTTCATGGGCCTGAGCACTTTACCATACTTCTTTTGCTATTAATAAGTTCCTTGATCAGGTAGAGTAATATATTGATTACCATGATAATAAATAAGTTATTTCTTAGGTCTATACATCGTGGCTCTAACAGAAGCTTATGGGCAGGGAAAGCAAATTTATATCCAGGATATGTAGCTATTCCAGTGAGGAGAGTTGACTGCTCCTTCTACTAACCAACTTTTGCTGGATTACCAGCTGGTCTCTCCAGAAAACGGGACCAAACTGGGGCTCAGCATTGGTTTCTCCATTGGCTGGAGTGGCAGTGTCAAGATGAGGGGCATTCCTTTTGCTGAGCCATCCATAGCCTCCATCATCACCACCTTGGCCACTTTGTACCTGAGCTCGTTGAGCAGTCCCTGGGGTGGCTGGAAAAGAGTCTTGAATGGCATTTGTAGAACATGTCATCTTGTCTGCCTGATCATTGAGAGTCGCCTCTGAAGTGGTTGCTCTCTAGTGGGCATCCGCATGGTACATAAATGTTTTTATGCTTTGAACCCATTCTGAGATGTCCACCCACCTACCCCTTTCCCAGAACTTCTTGTCATCAGATTTTGCAACTTCTTGTCTCCAAATCTTGTTTTTCTAAGCCCCTGACCATCCTACTAAGCTGTCAGTCAGTGCCCATGAATCAGCATGCATCTATCGTTCTAGCTATATCTCAGTTTAAACATAGGGTACAACAAAATACGTTGTTTGGAATTCTGCTAACTGGAAGGACTTCCTTTTCATGGACTCTTCTCACTTGGTTTGTCATGCTGCTGCGGTCTACTTTGGTTTGGTACCAGCATATTATAGTGAACCGTTCACTCACCAGGTCCAGGGCTTTCCCTCTTCTGTCAGCTGGTCATAAGTAATCCTTAATTGGGATCAAGAGAGGAGAGGCAATGCAGAGGAGTATGTGTTGAAGGAATCTGACCCACCCCCTCCTGCAAGTGACTTGTACATTCTGGACCTGCTCAAGCTCAGTCTCTTGTACTGATCAGTCTACTTGATTTTGGATTCTTGCTGTGGGTGCCCAACCTCGTGGCTTGGTGTGTCAGATCAACGATACAGTTAATGATCGGTAACTCAGATCATGTGACTATTTGATGTCAGTAGTCATATGTTCATCCTCTAGCAGGAGCTGTTTCTCAAAAGAGTAGTTGTCTGCAGATGGGTCGTTTGCTGTAAAACCTGTCTTAGTCTGTTCAAGATGCTGTAACAAAATACCAGACTGGGTAACTTGATACAACAGAAATTTATTTATTACAGGTGATGGGGGCTAAAAAGAAGAGGGGATCTTATTTATCTGTGGTCTACTTGGATTACTGTTCAGATAGTTGATCTTTTTAACTCGATACCCTTGTAGGACACCAAGAAATATCATGTGCAGTTTGGTTGTAGAACAACTGTAAAATGTTTATGGACACTGTGCTCAAGTGTTCCCACATTTTATTTCCTTCGTAGAATGTGAATTCTTTTAGTAGCTAATGTTCCCTTGGGAGTAAAGTGGATATATTCTATAGCCTGTGTAAACACATTCTGTAATGGGAAGGCACTGGGGAGAGCATCCCAGAAGGAAGAAATGGAGCATTGCTCTAGAGTTAGTTTCATATTGTTATGGATCCCACCCGTCTTTTATTTCTCCCAGCAGAGGTAATGGATATTTTTCACGTGTTAACAGCCTGTACTAGTGTTTGAAAACTATTTGAGTAGCTTTTGCCTTAGAGATATTTCAAACTACGGTAATTAAACAGCACATTATTGAATGTCATGGATAATTTAAATTTTAGAGAAAAACTGACTTCATGTAGACAAGTGTGAGTTCGCTTATTTATACTCTGCAGATTTTGGATTTTGCTTATCAGGAAATGGTGGGGTCCCATTTCTTTGGTTTACTCATTATAAGAAGTTTTGTGGTCTGGGTTCTTTAAGCAGTACTGATACATTTCTGTCGATTTAGTCACATTTTTTCTGCGTTTGACCAGTGTCTTGTATTTGTTAGAGGGTGGTTAGGGCTGTAACCAGCGACTAGAACAGAGGATGCTAATGGGCTTATGTGGAACTTATGATCTTTGATTTGGTTTATCCCCATGTGTTCACAGATAGGGCCCCAAGTCATAGTAAGCAGAAAGGCAAAGCCATGAATAAATCTACTAAGAGAATAAATAAATCTACCCTAAATTCTAAGGGTTAAGATTTCGGTATACTTTACATGTACTTATTACGTATAAAACCACCTCTTCCCAGTTTACAGTGGGCGTTGGTTGGAAGTTCTTGCTGAGGAATAGAAATGGGCTGGGATGAGTGATGAGAACAGAGCCTGGGGGATGGGGGATGGCCAGGGAGTCCAGCAGGGAGGTCACTGCACCCCTAGGGGCCTCTGCCTGATGGAATCAGTGGACTCATTGCCCTTTAGAGAGTTGAGGGGAATGGGAACTTGGGAAGATGCCTGGTGGGTCCAGCAAAGCGGTGAAAATGGGCCTAAAATTTGTAAACAACAGCCTTCGTATCTAGAGATGGTCCAATGTGATCCCTCGTGCCGAGGTGGACATAGTTGGTTCAGAAATTGATGTTAAATGGATGCCAGTGGTTTGAAGAAGAAATAAGTTTATTAAAAGGCATATATCATAAAACTGGACAAAAGGACATGTGAAATCTAGTGTTGGAATGAAAGTCTTTCTTTGGATTTATGTGCATGATTCACTGAAGGAACTGGAGTTCATGCAACTGTCCTGAGGGTCCGAGCACATTGAATACGTTGCATACTGATAACAAAGTGTAGGCGGCTTGTGGTTCTACTTTGAGTCTTCGAAACACCAAGAACCCTCTTCTGTCCAGATGCCTCCGTTTGCCTTTCACCATCATCTGGAGGATGTGTGTTTTTTTTTTCATGGGCTGAGGGCTAAGAACATCAGGGCACTGTCTTTAAGAAATACACTGGCAGAGATATCAGTTGTCTTTCTTTCTACATAAATATTTAGATTTTCCTGAGACCAAAATGGACTGCACCTGACAAGTTGCTACAAATCTAAATGTCAACATGATAGGGACTCTGCCCCCTGGAAACAGTGCCTTGGTGGCATCTTCAGACAGATGCCACCAACTCTCTTATCATGAGAGCCGACCTGTTGGCCTTTTCTGTGTGTAGGCTGGTGATGTACATCGAGAGAGACAGCAGAAAGACCTCCCCGGGCAAGGAGCAGCCGCAGAGCGGCCCCGAGCACCTGGCCAGGTGCCTGGACCTTCTCATCTGTCACGTCGTGCAGGAAGTGCCTCGGATCCTGGGTGAGTTGCAGGCTCGTGCTCAGGCCCCTGGCTGCTTACCTCTCGGTGACCCGGCTTTCAGGCATCGCCTCTTTTATATTCTCGCTGCTCTGTCACTGTAGGTGAGCTCAATGACACTTTGTCTTGAATGTGTAGTTTCAAGATTTCCATGTGCCTTATCTGTTTTCCCAGTTATTTTGCATCAGTGACATGATTGAGGCAGAGCTGGCTGAATATGATGTTGGGGTGTCATCTGTGGTAAACTGGTGATTTGGGAAAATAAATAAAAGAAAAGCATTTTAATTGCTTACAGTTGGACTTACGCTATTATTTTGGGTAGCCTTTCTCAAGATCTCTCTCTGCTTTATTCTGAATTAAAAAAACTTGTCCTTTCAGATGAGAGCCACACATTTATTTGCTATTAAAAGAATTTAAGAATGCCTAAGCATTAACATTTAATATTAGACTTTTGATATTAAAGTCTGAAAATTTCTTTGGTGTGAAAAATTTAAAATAAAAATATCTAATCATGATTTGCAGAGGATGTTTATTATGGCCAATCCCCTTATTTCCTTATTCTTTGCAGACATTATAATAATCTAAGGAATGCGTATATTTAGCTTAAATCCCATCCCATGCTTTTCCAGCAGATGTAGCACGAAACCAGGAATGTTTAAAATGTGGAATTGACCCAACTGACTGGTAAAATATACTTAGACGCTGAAATCATGATACTGAATCAGAGTAATGGAAATATCTTCATGGCTGAGCGACAAGCCTTTTTGCTTCTTACTGATACTTGGGGAGATTTTTTGCCTGTTAATGACTGAAAAGAGAGCATTTCAAAATGTACTTTGGATTGTAACCTTTCTTTAATCTTCAGTCTGAGGGCCATGGTCTGTCTGGTTGATTGGTAGTTGAGTTTCTTATTACTAGATTTATTCTGGTTAAGGATATATAATAATGATAAGATTAAATATCCACAACACAAGTTTTATTTGTTATTGGACTTATCATCCAATGAGAAGTTTTATGAATTGATCTATTTTTATTTCCATTTATTCTATTATTAAAAATTATGATCTATAATCTGTTCACTTAAACCTTTTTAATATTTCTTTTTCTGTTTACCAAAGTAATGGGTGCTTATACTTATTTCGAAATACAAATAACAAAAAAAAAGAGAGAGAGAGAAGAAAAATTATTTCTGAAACCACCACTCCACCACGCTCTTTATAAATTCAGTGTTAAATTTCTGGATGAGCGGTTGAGTTTATATCCATCCTGCCCCCAGCTTTCTGTTACAGTCTCAGTATTTGTGAGTAAATATCACAGCGTCTCTCCAGCTCACTGAAGTGGAGATTCATCCCCTCTGCCGTCCTGTTAGTCTCCCAGCAGTGACCGGTGGTCCCTGAGCGCCTGTGGTCTTTGCTTCTGCAGGTGACATTCTCACCGCCCTGGCTAATGTGTCTGGTCGGAAACACCCCTCGACAGTTCAAGCGAAGCAGCTGAAGCTGTGTCTGCCCCTGATGCCTGTGGTGCTTCACCTCGTCTCCTCCCAGGTGCGATCTCACTGGAAAAACCACGTAACCGTCGCTCCCTCCTGTAAACTGGAGCTGGGAAAGCCGCTCAGACAAAGCGCCCGTTTCCCCCTCGCCAGCTTCAGGGTCTAACCATGGGCACTCTCGTCACACAGGTATTCCGACCCCGCGTTGTGACGGAGGACTTCCTCTTCAGTTATGGGACCATCCTTGTGAGTGGCTGAGCTTTTCATGTTCCTAATAAAAATGGGGCTGTTGCTACTGTGTGTGGAATTTGGTGTCTGAACAGGTGATTTAAAAATTCTCGTGGTATTTATTTGTCTCTAGGGAAGTGACCTTTTTATATTTTTATCTGTTGACTGTAATAAAATTTGACATTTGGAGAAAAACACATTTTCTCCTGATAATGTATTAGTTCACAGACAGCCCCAAGTAAGTCTGTAGCAAACGCTTTTACCGATTTTGGTATTAAACATCATGAAAAAATTTTAAATAATAAAACTGGTGAAAATGGAATGCTGGGAATATGTTATCATTGTTATTTACCTTGGCTTACATTGTCCAATTATGTGCAGATCTCTTTTTTGATGGCATTTCACTAAGTTAAGCTTCATTTAACTTTTTTTAAAATTTAATTTTGATGAGATGTGTAGCAATGAAAAACAAATCAGTGTGCTATCTTTCATTCCAGTTTTTGCTCACAAAAAAATAGTCTTTTTGTTCAGATTGTGGCTCGTGAGTTATGTAATCTCTTCTCCTTGCCGGGCATAGTTGCAGTATGGATTATTGATGAAACGGGAGCTATTTACAGGGAAAGCTAAGACATTTGTCACGCAGCTCCTCCAGTCTCACTTTGATTTCATAATGAAACTGAACTGAGGTTTTCAAAATGCTGCAGAGGTATCTAAACATCTCAAAGTTATTGTTATTTTGGAATAAAAAAAGGATTGTCACCCACAAGTGAGAATATAGTTTTCTAGAAGGTCCATCACAGGGTGAAGAATGATGCTTTGAAGTACAGATGTTGAGTGCAGGGCGCTGACTTAGAAGTGCAGGCAGTGCACTGGGGTCCTTTTGTGCTCAGTTTCAGATCTTTATCTGAAGAAGGGAACTTTGTTGTGTTTTTTCTTAAGTTCTGGCCTCATTAGTTTATAAAAGACTGATGGTTGTGTGGTGGTTATAGTTTTCTACAAAAAGGCATCACCATTCAAATTTTCAAATAGAAGAGGAACAAAGGAAATGATAATATTATTCTGATAGCTTTTCGTACAAGAATATAATTATAATGTCCATCATTCACGAATCTTTGCTTATCCCAGGCACTGAGATAGTTATTAAAAGGCACACCTGCCCTCTGCAGATTCTTATTTTAAGTGGATGTTGCTTTGCTGGTTGATTTTTTACTTCAGTTGTAGTAAATAGAGCAGAGAGAGTGCAATCTTACATTTTAAAAATGTACTATATAATTATTCATTGCCACACGAATGTTCTCGTTACGAGTTTTCCCCTTTTCTACAAACCTTGAATTCATACACCCAGTTTGCTGCAGGGCCTCATTTTCAGCTTCTGCGCGGTGGCACCGAGTAGCATGGCGTGGTCCTGGCCTGCCCTTGGCCCACAGCGCCCCATTTTCCCGTCTGATGGGCCATTTTCTGCCTACACTCTCCACCCAAGGGAGCCCTCGTGGGGCGCGTGGGGAGTGTGCATCCTGTGGCTCCTCTGCCACAGCCCCCGCGTTGAAGCCCCAGCAGACTGTAGCCCGCGTTCCCTGCCCCGTGGGTCATTGCCCCCAGTCCTCGGAATGGCTCTTCATGGGGCCCAGTCCGTGTGTCCATGCTGCTCCTGGAACCGGTCTCAGAGTCAGACCCCCTGGGGGTCCTTCCAACCCCGCAGCCCCTGCTCCTGGACCGCCCTCCGCGCTCGCCTTTCCCTCGCATAGCTGCCTGCACCCATCAGCTTCTTTTGTTTACTTAGAGACTGAAAAAAGGAATTCCGAGTACCCCATATTTTCAGTTTTCAAAGAGCATGTGTTTTATTTTAAGATATTCTCTTACTTTGCAGGCAATTTGTGCTTATTTATTTTAATGATAAAATGCATGCTTTTAAAAGAAAATGTAGAAAAGTATAGTGAGTTCAAAGAACATAAAATCATCCGTAACTCCACAAAGACAACCATTGTCAACACACTTAGGCTTCCCTGTAGTGTTTTCTATTTATATATGCACTTGTGTGTAGAAAAACTACGTACATATGACATACTTATGTATGATATAGACTGTGCTGTACATATGTAGATTTGTATTGTCTCTTTTTCATTTAACATTGTGTTGTATTTTCCTTTATCTTAATTTTTTTCATATTTTAATGGTTACATATTGTTTCATTTGTATGAATTATATAAAGTTTGATATCAGTAAAGTTCAAGAAAACCAAACACAACATATCATTTAGGGACATATGTTATCTATGTTTTATTTCAGAGCTATTTTGAAATCTCCATTTACCAGTCTTTTTATTTTTTACAGAGTCATATTAAATCGGTAGACTCAGGAGAAACAAACATAGAAGGCGCCATCGGTGAGTGGACCCTGGGGCATTTTACATCCTTGATTGAGGTCCTTTGATATTGTGATTTTGAACATGTAAATAAAAACCTGTAGTAATTACCTGTATTTCTAGGACCCATGGCATCGGAGGAATTTATCAAGATCACGCTGTCGGCTTTTGAAGCAATAATACAGTATCCTGCTTTACTGAAAGACTATTGCTCTACGGTCAGTGCTGGCAGCTTTGGGAAAATACCGTTTTTCATTTACTTGGGAGTTCTGCATATTGTAGAAGTCTGAATATATGCACATATCACAGTTTATTTATTTTTGATAGACATTGGGTTGTTTCTAGTTTTTGGCATTTACAAATATTGATGGATATTCTTGTTTATGTGATTTGCTCTACATAAGCATGCATTACTTTTAGGGTACGTACTTAGGAATGGAGTCAGTGGTTTTAGGATATATGTAAACTCAGCTTGTGCACAAAACCCTGTAGCCTATTCCAAAGAGGTGGGACCGGTTTACATTGACCCAGCAGCGTGGTGCCTGACCTCATCGACCCACTCATTACTTCACACTTCTTTAATCCCCACCTGAGGGTATGTTTATGGATTTTAGAGAGAGGGAGGGAGAGAGAGAGAGACATAGAGACATCAATTGGTCGCCTCCCATATGCGCCCCGACCGGGGATCAAACCCACAACCTAAGTGTGTGCCCTGAACCTGCAACCTTTCAGTGCACAGGACGACGCTCCAACCCACTGAGCCACCCGGCCAGGGCTGTTCCACACTTTTTAATGGGTGGGTATATAGCACTATTTCACCATGGTTTTACATTTTTGTATGGTCAGGGCTGTTAATGAGGCTGAGTAGTTTTTCAGATGTTTGTTGGTCATTTAGAAATACTCTTTTATGAAGTGCCTGTTCTTTTTTTGATATTTTTAATCTAATTTTTAAAATTTATTGGCATAAAGAAGTTCATAATGTTTTCTTGCCACCTTTTTTAGTGTCTTTGTAATCTAATAATATCTCCTTTAATTTTTTTGCTATTTATTGTTCTTTTTTGTTTTTCCTTTTCTTGAACAATCTGACCAGAGGTTATTTTATTTTTTATTGACTTTATCAAAGGGCCAGCCACCTTCTTCAGTTTTCCTTAGCTTGGGTGTTCTGGGGGCAAGTTCTTTGGTCAAGTCAGTTTCTTGCAAGTTTTTTCTGAGTATTAAATTCTCGGCTGGCAGTTATTTTTGGTACTGTTTAGTACTGGGAAGATACTATTTCATGATCCTGCATGAAGTTGTAGCTATTGAGAGTTAGCTGATGGTCTGTTTTTCCTGTGAGAATAATCTTTGTTGTTTGTCCCCTTTTAAGATTTTTTTGGAGGGAAAGAGGGGGAGGGTTGTCTTTTCTGTGGACACACTGACTTAACTAAACACGAACCGTCTTTTGCTCTGCTTGGGAGTCTCTGCGCCCCTCGAGTCTGTGGGTTGTGCTTGTCACCTCTGCTTACTCTCTTTCTGTTGCTTTGCCTCCTCCAGCAACTCAGGCCACAGGCGCACTGAACTTGCTCGCTATATTTTCTATGTATCCTGTCACCGTTCTCTCTCAGGGTTAATTTCTGGGTAATTTTGTTTATACTCTGGATAGCTCCATTTCTGTCTTCCACGTCCAGTCTGGTGCTACATACAGCTATTGAGTTTTCAATTTTGCGTATTTTCATGTGCAGAAGCTTTGTTACCGCTAGAAATTCTGCTTGCCTGTCTTTCCAGTTGCCTGTATTTCTGCAGTTTTCCATTCCCTGTACGCGTTTCCCAGCTTGTGATTTGTTTACTCTTGTTTGCTAGGCATAGCGGCTTTGCACTACGTGCGACAGCTCCAGAATCAGAAGGCTGCGCCGTGCTGTGGTGTCTGTTAGATGTTGTTCATGCCCGAGTCACCGGTGTCCTTGGAGGCCTGTTAACAGTCACGGCCTTCCTGGAAGCTTGGGGTGGATGCTCCCTCCTCCAGGAGGCCTCATGTTTGTCTGGGGCTCTGTCTGTTGGGGCTGCCCTAGACGAAGGTCATTTATTTGTACCCCTTTTGCAAATCCCCGAGACTGTGATCTGAGATCCTGACTTCCCAGGGCAGCCTTCTCAGCACTTCCCAGGAGCGTGAATGTATGTAGAGGGGTTGGTGACTAGATCTGGTTTCCCTGACTCTGCGTGTGTCACCCCTGCTCCTCAGTGCCCCGCACAGGGTAGGAGACTCACAAAATTCCGAAGGTGGGAAGACCTGGGCTCAGCCCTCCCTCCCTCGCCCTAGTGGGCCCTGCTGGAGCCTTGTGTATGTATTATTGGTAAGTGCCTCCAGGGCAGCCAGTACACGGTGCCCCAGTAATTGGGTTCGAATTATCATCCTGAGCTAATGCCCATACTGAGCGGAGTTCAGCTCAGCTCTCTAGCTCAGGCTTTCATTCAGAAATTGGTCTGAAAGTTTCCCAGTTGTCCTTTCAGATCTTCAGTATTTCTAAGGTTGTGTCCTTTTACATTTTATCTGGCATTTTTTAGTGTTTCCAGTGAGAGAATTAACCCAAATAATGCCCACTGTTAGCAGGAACCCTGTTTGTCAGGATCGCTTTCTGAGTGATGGTTCGTCGGTCTTCCACTGCGGGAGTGTTTGCTTAACTGTTGCTCATTGATTCCTTTCTCTCATGAGCAGTAACCCAATGGATAATTTTTTGTGATCCAGTAGTTACAAATATCTGTGCTTACATTTAAATAGACATTTGATAGTTTATTTTGTAATCAGGAAAAGCTATCATAATAATCCTTGAAACTACAGTGTGTATTATGATAGGGATGGTATCATTGCAGCTCATGGGCCTCGTAAAAGTGTTTTTTAATGCTGTTCCTCATGGGAAATCCTCTAATTACCACTCCTTGAGCACGACTGGAATACATGAAATGGAAGATTCAGTGTCCCTAGGAGCATAACATTGCTTGAAATGTTAGCACAAGCTGTGTTCAAGGCTGCCGATCAATACTTTATTATATGGAAGTGGTTACATGCATTTAATTCTCGCTGAGCTCAAGTGCTTAACTCAGATTTTTCCCAGAGTTTGGACTACTGAATGCCTCGGAGTTGAAAATCATCGGCATGGCCGATGGCAGTTAGAAATACCATAACGATTTGATTTGTGCAGAGAATTTGTTCCATTCACGGGGGTTCCAAAATATGCTATAATAGCAAAGGGAAAAATAAAGGTGATTCTTTATTAGAAAATTCTGGTAATAATATACATAAGTCACCTAAAATATATTTCAATTTGTTTAACTTAAAAAAACCAACTAAGCCATACTACCTTTTTTTATAAAGAGCCTGCCCTTTTTTACGTTTTTAAGGCTTTGGGGCAGAAGTCATGATGTCAGCATCCCGGTGTTCCTTTTGGAGGCTCCAAGGGGGGAACCTGTTTCCTTGCCTTTGCTAGCTTCTGGGAGCTGCCTTCACTCCTCTGTCTTCATAGCATCTTCAAGTCGCTCTCTTTGACTTCTGCTCATGTTGTCACATACCCTTTTCTGACTCCGTCCCTCCTGTTTCCTTCTTATAAGGACCCTAGCTCTCACGTTGGGCCCTCCTGAATAATCAAGGATTAACCCCTCATCTCAAAATCCTTAACTTAATTGCATCTGTAAAATCCCTATTGCTGTGTAAGGTAACGAATCAGCAGATTTAGGGGATTCTTACGTGGACATCTGTCTGTCAGCATTCTACCACAGACCCCTAGTTTTATCAATGGCTTCGTTATTATAATTATTTCGGTGCTCAGATTATCCCAGGTCTGACCAGTGTAGTGCCTTCCAGGTTGGCTCATGTGTCCTGGGGACATACCCCATCGGTTTTTGAGCTATTTTTACTTTCTGTCACAACAAGGAATTCTCATTCTCTCTTCAGCTTGTAAGGTACCCTGGTCGCCCTGGAACCAAACATTTCCCTTAGGAGCCTTGGTTCCCTCTGGTGAGAAATGGCATTAGAGGCCTCAGTCAGGGAACCAAATTTGCTCCTATCTCCTGAGATGTCTTAGCTCCTAGGCCCTTCGAGGAAACATAGCTGGGGAATATATACATGTATATACACATATGGACACACACGTGTCCACTCATGTGCACACTTACATATGCATGTATATACCCATATGTATTTTGAAATCACGAATTCACACCAGTGTCTTCAAATCTAGTCCAGCCTCTCTCACCTTCCCCATTCCATATTTGTGTGTCCCCTCTTCCTTTGTAAAAATTCTGGTTTCTAACAACATTACCATATTTTCTTATTTGCTTAATCCTAATCTAAAGCTGTTACAGAATTGCTTCTCCTAAACCAGGACAGAAACAAACCTAATGAGATGAACTGAGATGCATGAGCCTTTAGTGTGGAATTTTATGTCCATCTGCTGGCTCTCCTAGGGCAGGCCGTGTTGACTGTTTGCTGTACTGTATCTGTAAGTTTCAGAGGCTAAGATCCCCTCTGAGGTCCTCGTTTTTGTCTCACCTCTTGTCTTTGGGTTTTCATAAGAATTCCTTCTTAAATAAAGGCCGTGCTTTGCAGCTCTCTGTTGTCACCCTTGTTGAGGTGGTTGGTAAGGTGTGGGAGCTTTTTACCTGTGGGGCATCATTTCACTGGTTTGGACAGCAAGGTGTTGTTGGGCTGTGAACAGCTTCTCCTGCCTTGTCATCAGTGTAGAGAGAACATTCACACATTTCAGGATTAGGAATAAGTTCAGTTGTAAACAACAGGGATTTTGTTTATTGTTGCCGAAATAGTTCATCAAATGGCATAGTGGGTTTCAGAATTAGACTGTGGGAATGATTTGTCCTTTCTTCATTGTCCATTTTTATTTGGGGGAAAAACTTGTTATTTTGGAGGTTTCAAACTGTATTTGATTGTGCCGTGTCTGATATTACTAGGAAATGATAGAGGTGGTTTGTACGGTGGATTTACAACTTCTGAATCTATTTCTAAAATTAACCAGGATTAACTTGTCATAGCTCTTTGATGTATTTGACAAAGCATGGGGATTATGCGTCTCTTTTTCTCCCCAACATTTTGATGGTTGTTTATCTTAAACTTGAGTAATGATTGCCAGCTTATGTATATTAATTTGGTGGTTTAATGTCAACCCGTGCCAATCAGATTTTGCACTAAATACTAAAGGTCTTTTCATGAAACCTGAAGGTTTTTATAAATTACAGTTCTGATCATCCTAATGTCATTTTGACCCGAGGACTTTTTCAGTTAAGTGAGCTTGGTGGTTTATTAAATGTCACGCAGATTTTAAACCCAGGATAAATTTAGCTGTTGATTTTTTTCACTCCTTTGATTAGTGATTCTGTCAGTGGAAAAAAAACATAGATAGTGGTTGTTACCAGTTTCATGTTTATGGAGATCTGAGCCAAGTCTTTAACAAAATCTTTTCTTATAGGTTGTTGATTATATCCTGCCACCCTTGGTCTCCTTGGTTCAAAGCCAAAACGGTAAGTGGCCACATCAGCCAGAGTTCCATCAGGTGCACTTTCTGCTTTCACTCCATCCCCACGTGGTCACAGTCTTGGCTTTCTTTTCTCTCCAAGTGGAGTGGAGGCTCTTCAGCTTGCGGTTGCTCTCAGAGACCACGTCTCTGCTCGTGAACCAGGAGGCTGGGGATGGCAAGGAGGCTGCGAGTGTCGACCCTGACAGCAATCTTCTGGCTCTCATTAGAGATGTCCTACTTCCCCAGTAAGTACCATGCACTGCACTCACCCAGAGCAGTGTGGGCTGCCCAGGATACTCCAGTCAGGGGGGTGGCGATGATGGCGTGGGGGTCTCCGTGTCCTTATGTTCACATCCATGTGCTCATGTACTCACTGCAAAAGATGTTAGGAACAGAGGCAGTAACTGTTACACTGCATGGAACCCAGGAGAATCTCAGTCCATCTTGAAAAATATCCATTCAGAGCTTTTTCTCTTTTCTACAGACTCTGAGGTTGTGCAGAGTTCAAGGTGTTCATGGCTTGAGGGGTGAGGTTTATTATTCAAGGTCAACATTGTAAGACTAATGGAAGATGAAATTGGGATTTTTCCAGGACCTGCTCAGAAATAATAGAGATGGAAATCTTCCTTCCCCCCAAACTCTTGTAATGGAAATTAAGTTCAGATACAAATAGCATTTTGGGGGGGGGGTAGAACAACTAATGTGTTAATTAAAAGGAAGAGGTTATCTTTTTCCTTTTTACTCCATTGCTCACATAGCAGGCACACAGTAGGACGACTACAGAGAGCTAATTTCATGTTGTTTAGTACAGTAGCATCCTGTACAGCTTGTAGCCCAGGAGCAACAGGCTAACCCCTATGGCCGAGGTGTGTAGTGGGCTCAACACCTGGGTTTGTGTAGATGCTCTCTGTGATGTTTGCACAGTGACAGAGTCACCTAACGACGTATTTCTCAGCATGCATTCCCGTGACTGAGGGGCGCGTGACTGTGTATGACTGTGTGTGTATTCGACTTATATTTACGTGGGTGAATATAAGCTTAGAACCTTGTGTCATGGGATTAATTACTGCTTTTGGTGCCGTTTTCTACTTATGAACTGTTTATTATCATCATATGCATCTTTTTGACAAGATGCCAAAATGTGTTTTTTGTGCAAAATGTGAATTTTAAAAGATGTATTTTGGATATCTGCTGTCTGACAGCTTGTAGGGAGGCACCTTTCAGGGCCTGAGCTGTCCTGCCACAGTGGGGACAGGGTTTTCTCCAATAGGACTTGACAGGTTAGTAACAGTTGTTAACATGCATGTGAATTTGAAGTAAAGTTTCTTCATGGCTAAAGTTTGCCCACCTTTGGCGCAGTTCCTCATCTGTAGAGTGGGATAATAGTACCTAACTCAGGAGATAATCAGCATGATTAAATGGGATACTTCTTGTAAAACACTTCGTACAATGTGTGGGACATAGTACACTCTTGACAAATGTTAGGCTCTACTGCTGTTATTATTAGGTCCATTATAATCTTCCCTATGCCCCTTTAAAATGAAGATTGTGGCAGTACAGTAACAGCAGTAGCACATAATTCACAGAAGTGAGGGGCCATTAAATGTGTAATGCTGACTGTGCTTACCTGGCGGATACAGTGAGGGCTCACTCAGCGTTATGTAAAACTTTAAAAAAATGAAAGATACGTAATGCATTCATTTAACTTTGATTCTGGAAAACTGGAAACCTTGGTAAGAAGTTTGGTCTTTGAAGATAGCTCTTGGTAATTATAAATTTAGAATTGCTAATACTGGAAAACTCGTGTTCTTCATTGAGTATGTAAATATGATGGCTTGAAATTATGTACTTTCTAGTTTATAGGAACTCTGTGGCATCTGCTTCGATTTGGCAAGTGTAGTAGCCCCCCTTACCTGCAGGGGATGGATAGATATGTTCCGAGAGCCCCCAGGAGATGCCTGAAACTGAGGATAGCCCCGAACCCTGGTCCACTCCTCCAGCTCCGCCGGGAACGCGGCAGCAGCTTCTTCGCCGGCAGACGCAGCCTCTCTGGCAGCTTGTCTGTTTCTCAGTCCAACCCGCTCCTGTATCTGCACAACCGTCCTCCACTCGCAGTGCCCAGCTTGGTGCCATTCATTTCAGGGGGCCCCTTGTACTTTCCGGGGCACATGTGGCCATCCATCGGGCACGCGTCCTGCTCGCGCCACCAGCCCCAGCTTGGATGCCGTTCCCTCTTCACCGGCGCTTGCCTCCGCTGTGGCTGTGACTTCCGTAGCTCGAGGTTCAGCTGCAAAAACTGGCAGGAACTTCTTTTTCCTTCTTCCCAAGGTCACGGCTAGAAGACCTGTCCTGACCATGGCTCTTAGCAACATGGCAAACGATTTCTTTCCGTTCCTTATTAAGTTGACAACTTTGACTTTACTGCTTCTCTTTGGCAAGTCCGACTCGCCAACGTCACTCTTGCGCTCTGGGGCCATTATTAGTAAAATGGGGTGACTTGAGCACAGCGCTGTGACACTGCAGCGGTCAGTCTGATAACCCAGATGGCCACTAAGTGACTGACAGGTGGGTGGACTATGCAGAGCGGATGAGGGGACAACGGGGTGAGTTAGGGCCTGGGNATGTGTGGGACATAGTACACTCTTGACAAATGTTAGGCTCTACTGCTGTTATTATTAGGTCCATTATAATCTTCCCTATGCCCCTTTAAAATGAAGATTGTGGCAGTACAGTAACAGCAGTAGCACATAATTCACAGAAGTGAGGGGCCATTAAATGTGTAATGCTGACTGTGCTTACCTGGCGGATACAGTGAGGGCTCACTCAGCGTTATGTAAAACTTTAAAAAAATGAAAGATACGTAATGCATTCATTTAACTTTGATTCTGGAAAACTGGAAACCTTGGTAAGAAGTTTGGTCTTTGAAGATAGCTCTTGGTAATTATAAATTTAGAATTGCTAATACTGGAAAACTCGTGTTCTTCATTGAGTATGTAAATATGATGGCTTGAAATTATGTACTTTCTAGTTTATAGGAACTCTGTGGCATCTGCTTCGATTTGGCAAGTGTAGTAGCCCCCCTTACCTGCAGGGGATGGATAGATATGTTCCGAGAGCCCCCAGGAGATGCCTGAAACTGAGGATAGCCCCGAACCCTGGTCCACTCCTCCAGCTCCGCCGGGAACGCGGCAGCAGCTTCTTCGCCGGCAGACGCAGCCTCTCTGGCAACTTGTCTCTCAGTCCAACCCGCTCCTGTATCTGCACAACCGTCCTCCACTCGCAGTGCCCAGCTTGGTGCCATTCATTTCAGGGGGCCCCTTGTACTTTCCGGGGCACATGTGGCCATCCATCGGGCACGCGTCCTGCTCGCGCCACCAGCCCCAGCTTGGATGCCGTTCCCTCTTCACCGGCGCTTGCCTCCGCTGTGGCTGTGACTTCCGTAGCTCGAGGTTCAGCTGCAAAAACTGGCAGGAACTTCTTTTTCCTTCTTCCCAAGGTCACGGCTAGAAGACCTGTCCTGACCATGGCTCTTAGCAACATGGCAAACGATTTCTTTCCGTTCCTTATTAAGTTGACAACTTTGACTTTACTGCTTCTCTTTGGCAAGTCCGACTCGCCAACGTCACTCTTGCGCTCTGGGGCCATTATTAGTAAAATGGGGTGACTTGAGCACAGCGCTGTGACACTGCAGCGGTCAGTCTGATAACCCAGATGGCCACTAAGTGACTGACAGGTGGGTGGACTATGCAGAGCGGATGAGGGGACAACGGGGTGAGTTAGGGCCTGGGAGGACCGTGGGGGATGGTGCACTATTTCATCATGCCACTGAGAACAGCACACAAATTAACACTTAGGTATTGTTTCTGGAATTTTCCATTTAATATTTTCAGGCTGCAGCTGACCACAGGTCACTGAAACTGTAGAAAGCAAAACTGGATAAGGGGGGACTACAGTGATGCACTAGTGTCAGTACTTTAAATTTTGTTAATGTTTTAATCCTTTCTTGACCTTTATACTCTGGATAAAGCCAATGTGACAGAATTTCATGGCTCCCAGTTTTTATTCTCAGAACTGAGGAGTCCAGAACTCATGCTGGCATCAAATAAAGCTGGATTCAGGGGCTTGAGTTCATTTCTACAGGACTGTGTGCATGTGTCTTACCATCGCTCTGCTCTGTCCACGCCTGCCTGGCTTTGCTCTCAGAGAGGTTCTTTTCTTGTTGGTAAACAGCTCCCGGGCACTGATCCCAGGGAAAGAGTGGATGTCTTTTCTATTAGCTCTGGCAAAATTTTAAGGAAGGATAATAATTTAATCTTGTTAAATACCATGTAATACCTGTGTTCCAGGTGCTTGTCAGAACTGTTGTGTGATAGGAATGAAAACTCAGTTGTAAGAATAAATATCCTATTAAAATAAATATTAGTTATGGTTCTCAGAGAAACAGAACAAATAGGATGCATATATATTTACTTATTGTAAGGGATTGGTTTACATGGTTATGGAGGCTGAGAAGCCCTAGGTCTGCTGTCCACAGCTGGAGACCCAGGAGGGCTGATGGTGTAGGTCCCGTCTGAGTCCTGAGGCCCGAGAACCAGGAGAGAGCTGATGGCATAAGTACCAGTCTGAAAGCTGACAGACCAGACACCCAAGAAGAGCTGATGTTACAGTTCAAGTCCAAAGGCAGCAAAAGACCAAAGTCCCAGCTAGAGGCCGTCGGAGCAGGAGGAGGTCCCTCTTACTCAGCCTTTTTGTTCTGTTTAGGTCTTCAGTTTAACCGATGAAGACCACCCACATCAGGGAGAGCAGTCTGCTTTGCTCAGTCTACTGATTCAAACCTCCATCTCCTCCAGAAACACCCTCATGGGCACACCCAGAATGATGTGTGACCAACTGTCTGGGTATCCTGTGACCCAGTCAGGTGGACACGTAAAATGAACCATCACCATATCCATCATAAATATCACAAATGACTGACTCTATAAACTATGAATTAATATCAAAGACCCGCTACCTCTTCCCAGTGTCCATGCTTTGCCATCTAAAGAGATTAACATTATAGTTACAAGTATTTGTGTAGTGCCCTTTGTATGTAGAGGATTATAATACCATTTTAGGGAGATGGTATTTGAGTTAGACTTTGAGACCTGGGTCTGATTAGATAGGAAAGGAGTGGGTACCCCAGGCAAGAACGGAGGGGGCAGGATGTGGAAGAGGCAGAGGAGTGGGCAGCGAGCAGACCAGCTCCTTCAGCAGAAGGCTGCATGTGAGTTATGTGAGATGAGCTTGGGAGAGAATACTCTCTCTCTTCATTGGGCCATTTATTCACCGACACCAACCGAATGCATCTTATTTCACTGGCATATTTCTCGTTGGCAGGATTATAATAGTGACCAAGAGAGGCATGGCCCCTGCCTCTATGGGATGTACTGTTGGGTAGAGGCAGATATTTTAGAAAGTAATAATTTATTTTAACTAAAGATGTTTGTAAATCATGCACATAGAAATGTTTACTTAAATATAAATTAAATATCGAGGCCACCTTTCTTAAACTGGGCCTCCGTGATGTTCATGAACCTGCTGTGGGGACACGTTGCTCTTGAGACATTTTATGTGCTTCCTATTCTTTGCTTTTGAGCTTCACAGTTCACTCACTGAACTTTCTACAGCTCAGCATTTCTCAAAATTACATGACCTTGGGACACTTGTTCCATGGCCTGTCTATTAATACTTCCCAGAACTCCCTTGAATAGAGCACCCCCCAGTTCTTGACTCGTGGCCCCTTTTGAACATCGTGGGGCGTGCTGGTGCTTCTGTCCTGGGGAGGCAAGAGCCGCCTCTTCCTCCAGTTTCGATGCTCCCGGCTGCTCGCCGTCTCGAGTTCCTGGGTCTGTTCTCTTTTGCTTTTCCTGGGCTTTCAAGTCCCGGCTGTAGTTCTCAGGTGGCCTTTCTGTAACGGTCCCTCTGCTCCCGTTACTTGGCTCCTTTTTAATGGCTGTGGGCTTAGCGCCTGCATAATTAAGCTTGTTACATAATGATTTTCAAAGCGAGAGTAAACAGGCCGCAAATAAGAGCCCAGGGCCCTATTCCCTCCACGAAAAGCATCTGCTTCATGTCATGGATTTTTAAAGACACATTTTGGATTTTCTGGAGCTAGTTAGCTGCCTCTGTAGTTGTTGGTTGTCCCAGATAGTTAAGTCATACAGTTGACTGGTTAGTTAGCTTGTTTAACTGTGTATATATTCGTCTGCCCGCCAGTCCGTCCTTCTGTCCGTCTGTCCATCCGTCTGTCCAGCAGCATCTGCATGGTGCTGCACACTGGACAGCTGAACCTCAACAGGTCAACATAGTATGTGAACCAGCCTCTGCCTAGCGGGTAACATGGGCGTGCGGCCCGCGCCTGCCATGGGAACTCTTGATAATGACCTTTTGAGGTTTTTTGTTTTTTTTAATCTTCACCAGAGGATGTTTTTTCCATTGCTTTTTAGAGAGAGTGGAAGGGGGGGGAGAGAGAG